GAAAAAAAATGGACTATATTTTTAAGGTCAGATGGCCTGGGTCCTGATGTCATTACTTATTTGATGATTTTGGAATCTCCCTAAACGTCAGTTTTCTCATCTTTAAAATATAGGTTTTATAATGAAACCTAACTCAGAAAGTGGTTGTGATAATTAAATACTTCAAATTTAACTACTATCTCAGAGTTTGGCATAAAACACTCACTTAAATATATTTATTTCATATAATTATAGACTAAGTTTTGGTGACTGCTATCAAAGTCTTTTGATACAATAGTATAAGAATGTACCTGATACTTAATATATTTTATGATTCCTTCAAAAGTTCTAAAACTAAACATTTTCGTTACCTTTTATATCATACATAAACTAAACTCAAATGAAATTTCTGATGCCAAAGGTAGAATTGCTAGTTACATGAAAAATGTTCATGGTCTGTAAACTCATTTCTCAGACTTTCAAAGAGGTTTCCCATGATGCCTTAAGTACTATCTATTCCTCTCCCCTTGCTAAACACATTCAGCAATCACAAAATCAAGATTACAGGTGTCTATCTTCTTTATTTTCCAACTTTATGTTCTTTGTTGGGTTACAAACTACCACAACTGTCAAACCTGAGTACTCTACAATATTATCTTCTCTGCTGGCCAGATTTTCCTCAAGTGTTTCCTTTCTTTCCCGTTTCTGTTTAATTAAATCTAATGAAACATTTGTAAAGGTCATGTGGGAAATGCACATTTTAGGCAAGCAGCAGAACTTACAAACTAGAGGCTCAGAATAAAACTTTTTTTTTTCCTCTAAAAAGTTACATCAAGCTCAATGGGTAATTACTTAGTTTTTGGATGACAGTAAAACATCTGGAAAAAACATAAAATTGACTGGCTCTTTGAGTTCCATTCTGATGTTTCATTATATTATTCTGCTTTGATTCATCTTTTATGACTATATTCATTATGCTATATTTGAAACTTCCTGAACAAAGATAATTTCAGCAAGATTAAATATTTACATCCAAGTAATACTTGTAAGAAAAGTTCTATCAAATGGCTAAAATACAGTTTATTCAACAGCTTTGGTTGTTAGTGGCTATTTTTAAATAGGATAGCTTCCAGGAAAATGACATTAACTCATATTTTTACCTCAACTAAACCCCTGTGTTTTCTAAACATTCAAGGAATAGAGAGCATTTTTGCCCTTCTATTTAACTTCAGCAAATACTATACCCAGCCATTCATTTTTTTAAATGTTCATGTAACTAAAATAAATATGATGCCTGAGAGAGTAATTTATTTAGGCTTGCACAAAGATACCACTGTAGTATTTGGAAATTAGAGAAAATTAGAGTAAGTAATTTCTAATTATGATAGTAAACTCACTCACATATAATCACACACAATGAAGGCACATGTAGCCTGTAGCAAAGAACAGAATTTTAAAAAATGAGATCCCTTCCAACCTGCTTTGTTGAGCCATATTTATAACATCATTGAAAAACATAAGCTAGACAAAAAAGAAAAACAACAAAAAGACACTCAAATTATTTCTAATTGAATTATTTTAAGGTAAAAAGTCAGATTTTATTTAATCACAGCATTAGAACTGCCCTCCACCCCTATTTAGAAGATAAAATACATCATCAGTCCTCAAAAGCACAACATTGAGACAAGTCTTCTCATTGCTTCGCTGTGTTAATAATTCTCTCTGTACCTCAGTTTTTTTGCTGTAACAAGCGTCTTATGATAATGACAACTTCAATGCCTGAATATTCCATTTTAACACATACGTATTAGGTGATGTTTGACCCATCGCAGATGAAATTTGTCTCTAAGTAACTCGCCCCAGTATGTTCTTTGTTTCAAGTAAACACATAGGGATCAATATTCTCAAAATTACGGTCTTTGACACATTCTCCTGATGGGAGTTTTTAATTATTTTATAGGCTCACAAGGGTCTGAGGAGCCCTAGTAACACTTCGAATAACTCCTCAACCTAAAGATTTCTAAACTTTCTCATTTTGTAGCAATTTTAGTGTCTCAGTAATATTTACACGGTGCCCCTAGGCCAAAAGAAATATGTGAGCTGTTTGTTAATTAGTTAGGTGTAAACAACATAATTTTTATATCCTTAATGGTTATATCCTCACAACGTAGTAGCAACATGATTCGCTAATATATATTAACTGAAGGTAAAACATTATTTCTATTTCATTCTTAAATTATCACAGTGACTTACTAAGGAAATCCATGTTCCTGTTGGACCCAAAACAATTTACTAAACTTTGGAATAATGTTAGACATCTCCACCCTCACTTCCCTGTCCTCACTCGTTTTTGTGTTTTACTTGCATCATATCACAGCAACCACTGAAAATGAAGCTTTACAAAAATATGACAGAATGAAAAGGAATGTAGCACAATCTAATGTTGAAACTGTGACTAGCCCCAAGCAAGTGGCCTGCAAGGTTGTCTAGCCTTTGAAACACTTAGAAATCTGGTGACGCCCCTGTGAGTTCAATGGAATGCTTGAGATTGACTTTTAACTTTTATCATAAAAAATCAAGGTTTTTTATTGTTACCAACAGATATTTCTGTGTTACTATAAATAGAGCATCATTGTGAAAATGTATGACAAGTTATTTCATCAAACAAAGGAAAAAATCTTTATAAAATTCTTCCTTCCTCCTATAAAACACAGTACAGTAACATAAATTTGGATACAACACTATAGGCAACTAGCTGTTTATCCTTCTTGCTGGCTCTGTTCTTAAAATGGCTGGAGGAAACAGGTGATAAAGGAGATGGAAACTAAAGTTCTTACCTTCTTGCACGGAGTGGAGACAGGGCATGGAAGGAAAAAACCAAGCTACGTGGAAAATGCAGGTAATTCCACCCCCAAAAATGGGGAGGAAGAAGATGGTTTCTCTTGTCTCCAATATTCTCCCATATCCATCTCCCTAAATCTGGCCAATAAATATCA